CCTGCTTTAAGAGGAATCTGAAATAAAGCAATCTGAAAACTCAGTTCATCTATGCACAGCAAGCGCTCACGAGAGCAAAGCATCCTTGTATCTCAAAGTTGTGTGACTAAGTTATTTTAATACTCTTAATTTATCTATCAAAACCACTCAAGGAATAACTTTTCACAGCAATGAGAAATTATTTTCTGCTGTGCTATCAAGTTGTTTTTCTAAACCACCCCTCAGAGTTAAGGCATGTTTTTGAGTCAGGGTTTTGCACTTCTCAGGCTGGCCTTTAACTTCTCATGTAGCTGAGGAAGATCAGTAACTTCCCATCTTCCTGCCCCTACTTCTTGGGTATTGAGAGTACAGGAAAGTCATGTATACACACAGGGATTCTGCAGTGCTAGCAATTCAAGGCAGCCCCCCCCCCCACCTATTGGAATGTAGCGGTTTTCACCACTTGCTGGCACAACCAGAGGCTTTTCATTTGCCTTTTGTGCCTGCTGTTTTTAATGATTTGGGACACTTTTTGCACCAGAGCATAGCTCACCTTTCACAGGAGTAAGAACTCTATCTACTCAGAATTCACAACTGCAATTTAAAATTTAAATAGAAGCTGCACAGCACCACATGTAAGGCTTTCCTGGTATATTGTTTCAAGAGACCAATCACAAAGCTCTCCAGTCAGCAGCTCCTACCAGAGAGAACATTACAGACTCCCACAGGAAGCACAGGCTCAGTAGAGTTCAGAAGGAGAGGACAAAAGCTGCGATTCTAAGCAAAGTCACCCTCAGCAGAGTGAAAGTAGGAACCAGACAACCCAAAGCGTTGAGGGAAGCAGCAGGACCTAAGCAAGCTTCCCTTTCAGACCTTGGCCAGGTTAACTCCAGAAGCACTACTGCAAACCACACATCTCACACCCAGACTCTCGCTGAGGTGTGACCTGGTTAATCAGAACCCATGTAGGTCCATGAGTGTAAGTAGACAGCAGAAAACAAGTCAAGAGCTTACAGAAGCGTCTAGTGTCCCAAGCACTGCTGGAAAGATGGCTCAGCAGTTATGGCTTCTCTAGGACCCAAGTTGAATCCCCACCACCCACAGTTCATAACTATCTGTAACTCTAGCTTCAGGGGATCCAACATCCTCCTTCCAACTTCCACACGTATCAGGCATACACACGGTTCAGACATGTACAGACAAAACACCCAGACACATAAAATAAAATAAAAAATCCAATAAATAAATAGCCTTAAAGTGTTCCAAGCACAGGCCTGGACATCTGACAAGAGCCTGTGGCTCACTACATTGATGTACATAGTAGAACTTTGATTCTCTACTTAAAAAACAAAGGTAGTGTTCAAATAATGGTTTTTTAAACACTAAAAATCCAAACTGATAAAAAACATTTACATTTTACTCTTCTTTTTACTTATTTTTAATTGTGTATTCATGTGTGTCTGTGTGGGGGTGAGGGCATATACCTATGGAGACCAGAAGGTGGTGTTGGATACTCCGGAGCTAGAGTTACAGGTGATTTTGAGGCCCATGACAAGGGTACTGAGAACTCTGGTTCTCTATAGGAGGACATATCCTTAACCACTGAACCATCTCTGCAGCCCTAATCTTACTTATACTCTAAAATTGAGTAATGGTTCCCTATCCCTACCAAAGGCTACCAGGCATGTCACATGAGAATTGATACCTAACTCCCACCAGGAGTCAATTACAAATCTATACCCTAACCTAAGGAGAAAGTATCATGATGTATAGAGATTCAGCCTTCCTTCAACAGTTATATCCCAAAGTCTTATGCACTCTTCTTATTTCCCAAACACAGTTCTGGGTCATTGTGATTTCCTTCCCAAGTTCCAGGACTGTTCTACCAAATAAGGAAGGGAAAGATAAGCAACACTAGGGAAACATGGGACTGCCTCTCAAACGGCAAAGGACTATGATCACACGTGGAGATGGAGGAACCTGAATAGTAAAGTACTCATCTTATACTTTTCACTGACAAGACGACTGTCACATTCTGTCTGAGACCACCCTTCCCGCCCCACACATCCTCTGCACAATCAAGTTGATGTAACCACCACTAATTTTAGGAAGCAGGCTAATCCGTTAGAATCTTTCCTTACAATGGGACAGAATATCTCACTAAATTGGAAGATAGAAAGGCAGGTCAGTGGTAAAAAGGGCAGGTGGGAGGAGCACTAAGACACTCAAAAACAAGGAACAAACGCCAACCCTCTACCTGAACAAGGTAAGTACACAAAAGCCCATGGCCACAAAGCCTGAGCAAGACTTGGATGGCTTACTTAAGTGGGAGTTTCCACAAAAAGATAGGAAACGCCAATTTGCAAACAAGTCAATAACCCTGCTGAAGTATCCATTTGGTTAGCTAGCATTAGCTTATACTAACTTCATAAACCACATTTCCATACTGACAACATGATAAACAATACAAACTTCAGCAAGGGATGTGACATTAGCTGCAGGGGCAACAGCACAAGTCTTTACAAAACCCAGGGAAAAGTCTTCCAAGTTTATGTAATAGCAACAAAATGTCAAATTCTTTCAGTCTCACTAAAACTATCTACATTAGGGAGCAACTTTCCCCCTACATGTCTTCTGGGCAAGCCAATGAAAATTAAACTCTTACTGAAAAGTATTTTAGCTTCCAAAAAGTACAAGAGGCTTTATGACATGCATGTTTTGACTTGAACAAGTAGCTTACTGTAAAACAGTCAAGGACACTATGGGGAAAACAACAAATGAGCTTCTAGTATTAAAAAATTAAAGTTTCAATTTTTCTTTATGTCATGTTAAGAATTACCAGAAACCACATTTCTAATACTTAAATATTTTATTTGTATTGAGAGTGACAATCATTCTCAACTCTTTAAAAAAATCCCGTTTTTTTAGCTGGGTAAGAACACATTCATATACACCCAATTAATGAACTCAAAATGCTAGGGCTTCAGCTACAGTAATGCAAAAAAGACATCACTTAAATTTGTCAAGTTTTTCATTCTTTTAACTACCAAATATTAGCCACTACTTTTTCATTTATAATAAACCAGCTATTTCGGCTATAACTTCTCACAACTGAATTTGTATTGCAGATGCCAACATTTAGATAAACAGCCACCATAATTCTGACTATTTTTGTGCTTTAAAGACTGAATACTTTTTAACAGATATTTAAGAGATTTGCTACAAGGAAGTTAACAGTTTCATCTGTGGTATACTGTATACATCTACACTTTCAGTAATTAAACTTATTGGTCAATTACTTTTAAGCTTTTGTGGAAACAAAATCTATTCAACATTCTCAAAATTTTTTTTTCTGACTTTTGTTTAAGGAGAAAAAGAAATCTAAGCAAAATTAGTCCATGTGGGTGTTTTATAAAACCAACCGATGACTTCAAAAACCCTATTGACAGCATTTCCTATGCAAGGTCTTGAGAACCAAGATTTAAGAACTGGTTATTTTCAACACCCAGCAGAACAAATCAAGATAAGAAAGTTAAACAGAATACTCACTTTCCCACTCTAGTCAACTGAAGCTGTTCAGAACATCCTTAGTTCATAGACTATAAACCTCAGCTTTTACTGGGCTAGAGATGGCTCAGCTCTTAAGCACACCGCAGCTGTTGCAGAGGACCAAGCTCGATTCCCAGCACCTACGCGGCAGTAACTCTTAGTTCCAGGGGAATCCACTGCTCTCTTCTGGTCTCCACAGGCAGTGCACGCACACAATGCACATAAGTACATATAGACAAACACACACATCTAAAAACAAATTTCCACTTTCAAACTCAAACAGTGTTAGCCCTCCCCCCTTTTCATGTCAAACCTAGTTAACTGCTCAAACTGAGGAGTACTCACATTCTCACAGCTCACAAGGTTCTCTGAAGGAAAAATGACCACCACAAAGATATGGGCTAGCACTATATTTCACTTATTAGAACAAAATCACACCCGCAAACATGTCTTCAAACATATATTCAAACTTTATTATTATTCATTTTAAGAATTAGGTAACTAGGGCTGGAGAGATGGCTCAGCAAGGTTAAGAGTATTGGTTGTTCTTCTAAAGAACCCAGGTCCCATTCCCAGCAGCACCCACAATGGCAGTTTACAATTGTCTGTAACTCCAGATCCAGGGGGATCTGGCATTTTCACATAGGCACAAACTCAATGTACATAAAAAATAATTCGTTAAAAAAACAAACAAACAAAGCTATCAAATAGTAGCTTACAGGTCAAAATGACATGTCTAACAAATACTAATATAGTATGTCAAGATCCCTAACAAGCCTATTTGTATTTAATGTTGGATCCCGTAAATATGAAAAATGAGTGAATGAATATAGTGTGAATCCGATGCAGTCTCTTAGAGCAATACTGGCAGCAAGGCACCTCCTTTTCACTCAGTAAAATGTTGCTTGCTGGTAACTAACAAGGAGAAAAAAATCATCTTCAGGAACTAAATGGCTAACTATATATCATATATATCCATTTGGAATGCTGTAAATTTATCTTGGCATGTGTATGTAGGAGGTTTGTACTAGTAGAATAAAGTAGCCACAGGTGTATCAACACTCACTGTCAAAAGTCCCAAGCAAAAACAAGTTGCATGGAAATCAGATCAAGTCCAGGGCTCCTACCAGACTGTCTCCATTTCTACCCATGATCCATTCTTCCCAGTCCCTTTGAATCAAGTAATTAAGGCTTTCAGAAGCTTAACAAGCCTTGAGTTTAGCTATTTAAAACTCCATGTCCAATAGTGTAGAATGCAAATGATTATAATGACATCATCAAGTTAAAATTTTCTCTTAAAAGAGCCATATTTCTTAAATGTTCAGAACCTACTACTGCAACCAGCTCTAAATGGTTCCTTAAGGAACGTGGCTAAGCTAGAATTTTGGAAGTGTAGGTTTGGTGGTGACCAAGGAGGAAGTCTCCAGCTTCCCAGATGCCGCAGTCCCCACCCTCCAAAATGATATACCCACCGGTGTGAATTGACAATGTAGTCCAAAGAGCAAAGCGGGAACGGAGTTCAGATCCTCAAAAATGGCAGTACAGGGAATAACCACTAGGCCACCTATCAGTTCAGTACAAAAAGTGCAACCCTGTGCATCACGGCATAAAAGTTGGGGCCTAGGTTTCATACTGTGCATCTCACACCTATGGAAATAACAACAGGAGTAAAATCTACAGAAATCCACACACCCTAAGAAAGTGGGTGTGCACTAAGACTGGTGTCAACACTTGCAAAGGCAGTTGGCTTCTGAGATAATGTACTGCTGGAAGGCTGAAGTTGGAAGGCAACAAAAATTTGCAATCAACTCTACTAAGTTGGACAATGAAGAACTCAATAGGGACCTGATGTTTACCAACAAAGCCTTGCAAATCATGACACCCATCTCTAAAGGCTATGAAAATCACCCCCCCCAAAACCTTTCAAGAATGACTTTTCACTCTCAAAAGAGTTGGAGAGATTTGGACTGACCAGTGTTACTTCAAGCCCATTACTTGCAGGTTTTAAACAACTCCCTTTACCACCTGGCCTAGGAAAGAGAAGTCGACACATTTCAACCTTAAGGTGAAAGGATTCTTGAGAAAGGGAACCTATGACCTAAGGATGTGCACCAAGATGACTGATCAGCAACCAAAGTTTGAGGGTGAATAGTTTGGAAAGAGTAAAAAGGAACTTTCCAAACGTTGAAGTGACTTTCTTAATGAAAATCTCTCTTTAGACTCACTTAATCCTTCGCCATGTTGCTGTCAGCTCAACTAAGTGCAAGTCTTGCTGGGCCCATTTTCGCGTGGTCTGTAGAAGGCGCTGTTAAGCACATCCTGTTCTAGTTCTGGGGCCCTTCCCCCCCCTCTGCAGCCTTACCCAATGCAGAGAATGCGCCCCCTACTGACTCCAACACTCACTGCCTTTAACCGACTTGGCTGCGGTGCATTTTGGGTGGGGGCTGATATTTTCTTCATGGCCATAAACCAGAAGCAACAATGCAGATTTATAAAGAAACTGCACAAAGCTATCCAAGAGACACCCCCCCACACACACCATTTTGAAGGTTCAAGACACAGGCACAAGAAACATCAGGGATGGGAACTGGGCGTCTGGGGCTGGACAGCATTAAAATGGCTAACACAGGAAACAGTCTGGTTCTTTTTCCCTCCTAAGCCTTTGTCTGTGAAATGGGGTTATGACAAGAACTGTCCAGAGGAACTAGTGGCTGAAGAGCACTGAGAAGATACTTGGGGTGTGTGGCAGGGAGCGAGGCTAAAATGGGTATTAGACTCCAGAGCCCGAGCTTCGACAGAAGAGGAAGAGAAGCAATCGCGCCTTTTCTACGAGACAGGCATCCAGGTTGGGGGGTGGGGGGAGAGAAGGGTAGGCAGCCCAGAGGAAAGAGGAGGCGAATAAGAGGGTGCTCAAAGAACTACTCCCCATTCATTGCATTCGACAAACATCTTTTCGCGGCTTTCTGGATTTCCATTTTCTGACTGCAAAGTTGAGGCTCAAAAAAGCTCTAAAAAGGCAGTGCTGACCAGGAGGCCGAGATTGAGAGCAGGGCTGGTGAAGGACTGTGGTTGGTAGGATGGGAGGGAAGCTGGCATGTTGTTGGGGTGGCAAAGACTTTCACTCCGTGCCATGCACTCCCCGCCCCCCGGGCCTTTCCCCTCCCCCCCAAGCCTAGGGTGGGCAGACCTGGCAGAAGGCAGGTTCCGGGGACTGGGGGCGTGCGTGGGGGGAGAAGGGACGGGAGGGGATTAGTGCTGGGGGGGACGAGAGAGCGGGGTACTGCTGGGGGCGGGGTGCGGGAAGATGCCACTAGCCGCAAAAGCCTTGGGCGGCCGGCGGCCTCGCGGGGCGGAGAAGGGGGTCGGGCTGCAGGAGGGCAGAGGCCGGTCCAGAGCGGTGTGTGCGCGCGGAGTACAATGACCGCGCCCGGGGCCGGAGGCTGACAGGGCAGGGCCGCGGGCTTACCTTGGCTCGGCCTCG